CCGTCGCCGTCGTCCGCAGCGCGCAGCCGCGCCGTAAAGTAGACGAGCCGGTGCACGTCCTCGCGCGCGCGCATGAGGCCGTAGCCGAGGTACGAGTGCTGGTACAGCACATGCGTCCGCCCCGCCATCGTCAGCTCGTACCGGTGCTCGCCCGCGGGCATCGCCCCCACCTCCGCGCGGGGCTCAAACGCAATCTGCGTCGACGCGCCCCCGAGGTCGAGCACCGCATACGTCTTCCCCTCCCTCTCCCTCTCAAGCGCACCAAACAGATAGTTCGCCGTGACCCACGCATACACGCCCTCGTCGCTGCCGTCCAGTATCTCCACCGCGCCGCGCAGGAGGACAAACTCCCAGCGGCGCAGCCGCCGCTCGACGGCGCGGAGGAGCTCCTCGGCGCGCGTGCCGTGGAGGAGGCGGAGGCCTGCGGTGGCGCGGAGGACGACGGGCGTGCACGCGCGCAGGGCGGGCGGGACGACGCGCGTCGCCTCGTCCATGAGCACGTCGAGGCTCTGGGCGCCGCGCGCGGGGTCCGCGGCGAACGCGGAGAGGCCGGGCTGCGTCTGCGAGAAGACTTCGTATTCGAGCGTCGGGCTTGCGTGGCAGTTGTGGAATTTGTAGATGTGGATGCGCGAGCCTGTGGAGCCGGCGTCGAGGAGGAGGGTGTAGTGGATCAGCGGCGTGCTTGCGGTGTGTGCGTGTTTGCAGGAGGCGGTCGAGGTGCGGTCGAGGTCCGTTTCAAACGTCAGTGCGGTGGTGGGTTGTGTGGGCCGCGAGGACGGCGGTGACGGCGGCGACGATGGCGTGGGTGACGTGGGACGCGGCGGCGGCGGCGACGACGACTCGGTCTCTGACGTCAGCACCAACGACGCAGACCGCGGGGCAAACACCCAAACGGTGGCAAGGACCACCACTGCAGCCACCGCAAACTTTTTCCATGTAAACCGTCGACGACCTGGCAGCGGCAACCCCGCGCTCGGCTTGATCCCGCTCTCCAGCAGCTCGTAGTCTGCACTCGACATGCTCTGTCCTTGTTTCTGTTTTCCCTTTCTTCTGGTCCGCGGACGGGGGTGGGCGACGGGGACGAGGGAGGACGAGGAGGAGGAGGCAGATGTGGATGTGGATGTGGACGTCGATGGCGATCGCGTGGCAGTGTCGTCCTCGGGTGCTTTTTCGCCCCCGAGTCTGGTCATCCAGCACAGCTCTGCGCAGCGGTTTGCGCTATCCCTTACTTACCTACCAGCTGTGGCTCGGTGTGAAATTAATTTCGACGCATGCATTCCCCACATCATACAATGATGCATCAAACCAATTTTGATACCGGGTGCAGTTGGGAATTCGAAGCTTAAGCGTTAGGCCTATGTGGCCTCACTGTACAATCCGCAAAATGCCAAACATCCGCAAGGTCTTCTGCAGCGCTGCAAGGCTTCGACGAGAGAAAATAATTTTCGACTCTCATGGCGTCCCGGGTATATTAAAGTTCGCAGCCAGGACCGACATTCGGATATGGTGTAACGGCTAACATTGCCGCCTTTCATTAGATGTCATCATAGACAATCGCGGCAGCTCGGGGTTCGATTCCCCGTATCCGAATTAGATAGAGATTGAACTCGTGTATTTTTTGCTCTCAAGATCTTCAAGAGGAAAAAGAAATTTCTGTGATTGTCTCTGTGCCCATTTCCTATGTGCCACATTTGTACTGTTGCTGACACCCACGGCATCCTGCAAGCTGTGCAGGTCTCAGAATCACTATATAACAATCATGCTACTTCCTTTTCTTGTCATAGTTCACTCTGCTGACTAGTAGCTATGCCAAGAATTTAATTGTTGCGACAAAGAAATCACGTGTACATACTATTACAAGTTCTACTCTCAGTTGCATCGATAACAACTGTATATTTGTTTTACCTATTACAAGTTATACTCTTTAGTATGAAATAAGTTTTATTTCAGTTGCATTGATAACAACTGGGGTTCAAAAGATTGACTCTTACAGTATATATACTATTTCACGGTAGTTATGATAACTTGATGTGGAGTCCAAATCTTCTAGCACTCGAAGGAGGGAGTAAAACAGTGAGCACTAATAACACAATAAAGGTCAGTGTGTATTATAATTGTACCTTTGTATTCATGTGGCTTAGGAGGCTTAAGAGCCACGAAGACATCTGTCACAAGAAAGCAGTCAAGTTGGCTTTGTGGACCGACAATCAATGAAGACGTTTTTTTTTTATCATTCGTTATGTGCACAAGGCACCTAGTGCCTATTCTGCATAGTACTATGGACAGGTGGTACAATTACCACTACAAGGGCCATGGAATCTCATGTCACCATGTATGTGGAGAATGTGCTAGTCAGTGCTTCTGAGCACCATTTAGACTGTGCCCCTCTGGTAATCCCTGAATAGGCTTGTGAGGGATGGATTGGGTGCTTTTTACGGATGCCTACTAGTGCAGGCAGGTATGGGATGAACAGCTGGGCCATGGTTCATACCACTGAGGCAAAATTGACTAGTAAATGTAGACAAAGTTTATATTTAATGTCACTTTGTTTATGGTTACAGTCAAATCACTAAGTTTGAGGGTTCAAGCCACATTTGACACACACTTTTG